TGTAGATATCTCGAGGTCATATGTAGTTTGAATGTTAAGGCAGTCTGACATGTTTTACAGCCGAGTCAGGTACTTGACCTTCACTTACCCTACTACGTAAGAGTAATAGGGGCAAGTCTGGGTAACGAATTGCGTTACACTTTGTGAAGAAACAACAACCTGTGAATGGGAGAAATAACTCTGGAACAACATGTTAACCCGTTTACACCATACACAGAAAAACGAGCTCATGCTTAAAATGAGAAGAAATGTGTGTCAGACATGCTTAAATGTGACAAATTAATTATGTTATGTTAGCAAAGTTACACCCAGAAAGACGGCTAGTAAAACTGCTAGATTTGGCTAATTGTATTACCATTTCATTCATGTTAGCCTGCTCAACTAGTTTGTTCAGTTGAAGCAAGCATGCAGGCGTGCTTATATTAGCTAAGGCTAACTAAGGATGGGCATATGGTTGCTAACGCTGGTTAGCAACCGATAGCATGTTGTCAATTAGCAGCCCTTTTTAGCTAGTAGTTGTAAAAGCAAAACACGTGTGATTAGCTGGGTGTGTAGCTTACCTTGACTGAGTCCACGGGGTACATCACCGTGTGCTCCAGGATGCCCGCCACGGCTCCTGCTGTCATGTGGGTCGCCACTGAGACATGAGGTGGCAAGCTCTCGTAGTCCCCGTCACTATCAAAAGGCTCATCGTCCTCTTTGCTTTTGACCTGCGACATGTCCAGAGCTGCCACCACCGGGTCCGACTTCAACTCCATGCGTGGAGAGATCTCCCCCGTCCGTATTCTCCACAAGATAACACTCAGAGAGCAGTCGGCAGCATGGATAACCACAACATCATCGCTACTTAGTGGAGTTCCAGCGCCCGTGTGACGTCCCCAAATCGGAGGCGTGGTTAAGATTATTATGGACCAATCAGATGTAGGATATGGGCGGGCTCTTGGTTTGAGGCGTCCAATTAAAACTTCCCGTGGTGGATTCCTCTGGCACTTCACTGTGCTACTGTGCATCCCTGCTTGTCTCTGTTTTTGAATGGGTTTGTCAAAAGTGTTAATCTCATAGTCCTGCTTGAATAGATAAATAGGTTTGGTCCCCTTATCAGGCAGTTTGTTTTCACTATAGATGACCTGCAACTCCCCTTACTCATAAGGACGGATCCTCAATTGAATAGGCAATAGTTATGACTGCTAGTAAAAACTATATGTAAATATTCAGATCCCCAGGAAAGTTAAGTAAGTAGCCTAGCAATGACCCACTTTACAGTATTTTATTTTAAGTAGCCTACACGTGCTTCAATGTTTAAAACAATTAAGAGAAGAGAGGGTTTGTCACCAAATATTACTAATAGGCTAAGTACTCTAGCTTTATTAATTATGTTCAAAAGTCATATTAATAAAAGGCTAAATTGGATTTTTGTTGCTGATTCATTAACATTTTAACCTGTTTTTAATATTTTGGTTGGTCGAGATGAATTACATTCTAACAACTATTGTAATGTGTATTGTCTGATTATGTTATCAAGAACAGTGCATCCAATTTTATTAACTGATCTTATTACAAATGAAATCTGAAAAACATGCACCAATACATTTTGGGGGGCAAAAAGTCATACATTTTCTATTGAGTTAGTTTCCAGCACTGGGGTAAAGTTGTAAAGTATATCCTCCAAAAAGGACCAGACATGACAGAAATCTTACTTTTAAATATATTTATATTAGTTGTTATTTGTCTGGACACTTAAATTGCATATAGTAGTTTGTTGTTGTTGTTGTTGCTTGCAACTAATCTTCACGTTTTAAGGAATGCAGCACCATATAACGTTTCTAATCAATGGTTAAATGTTAACTACTACTGTGGTCTGCTCATTTGTTCAAGCAACCTGTATGTTTGGAAGGATTATCCAACAATGGTAAAGAGATTATTATTTTTAAGGATTATCCAAAAGGACTTTTTGAAACCACTTGGTGTGAATTATCTGAACAGTTAAAAAAAAAACTTTTCCACTGCCTAACATGACTCAGTAACACCCACTAACATCTGCCTCTTGTTTTGGGGAAAGGTTATAATCCACATTCATTCTCTGGACAATTGACTCTACAGTAGTCATGGGAAATAAATATTAAGAAAAAGTTAAAAATAATAAGTGAGCTTATGCAACAACCACGTCACAACACCCACTCACTTGTAACCCTACTTAATTCAACATACTGATCTGCACGAATCATCCCTACTACACGCCATGTGAACAAATAAGGAAAAAGGGAACAAGGGGTGCACTTCTGTTTCTAAGTTTCAGCTCCTTAAAATAACATTATCATTACATTTTTAAACATGTACATAATGCTGCTGCAAATGTGCAAGTTAATTACATTTTCTGTTTCAAGGAGCCTGTTAAAAACGAATTATCTTAGTGTAGCAATATAAATGTCTGTACAACTTTCTCATCACATCTCTTATTCTTAATAATTTATACTGAGGATTTCCTTGCTGTGTCGTCCGGTCTCTTGTTACAGGCCAATAGTTTACATTTCACCTTTACCATCAACAAGATGCTAGTTTTTGTTCAAGATATCAGCAGATTCAACCACAACATAATAACTATTCAGCGATAATCCACTCTACTTATTCCACCCATACAGTCTATGATTCCACCACACAGAGAGATCTGAGCCTTTGATTCCTCCAGTTGATGCTATTAAAGAAATAAAAACAGTATAATAAGTATTGTTACTATTAGAAGTAGAATTTCCTGTCTGTTGACTAAATGTTTTATATCCTGGTTAACTCACCATTGAAACCTGAGCTTTAAAACAAAAGCCTACTGCAGTGTCGCTGTGGGTGTGTCGGATAACTGTGTTACATGCAGTGACTCAGCATTATAGGGGCCTGCATCTTAAAGAGCCACCTGTTAGAGCAGTTTTATTACAGATAGAGTCCTGTTCACATGTCCAATAAAGAAACTAAAGTCAGAGAGAAGCATTAAAGTTCCCCTATTATACTGTTTTTCAACAATATATAATATAGGTCTCAGATATACAGAACATATCTCTGAAGTGTTTGGCTCCAAACACCAAACAGATCATTGTAGCATCCCGTAATCCCCTCTGTTTCAGCCCTGTTTCAAAAGTGCTGATTCTCTGTCTGTTACTTTAGATGAAAATAAGGAGCCACTCTCCACGCACCTCTGATACCCCATTCACACCAACGGTGTTTCAGGGCCGGTTCGGAGCTGGAGCTTGAAAAGCACCGGGTTTTCCTGTTCACACCGCAGCGGAGCAGCCTCTAAGCTCCGGAATCCGGTTCGTTTCGAGCACCAAAAAGTTGTCCGTCTAGAAGCAAGAACCGCTTACGTCGGAGGCGTAATCATCATACCTTGGTTGATGATTGGCTAATGGTTACACAAGCCAAACAATCGTTATGACATCATGAAGTGGCCTAAATCTGATCAGCTCATTTTCAGACAGGTTTTTATATAAATGGATCAGGACAAAAAGAGAGGGAATGTTTTTTCCTGAAACTTTCAGAATCTCTTTACACAGAGGGGACACATGTTGATGTAGAAAAGACATGAAGAAGAGGATTTTGCATAATAGGTGACCTTTAAGTATTTTTTATTTACCTTTTCTCAAATGTATTTTAGCTAAATGTCACACTCCTCTTTAGTTGTATGCTGTTGTGCAAGGTGGTTGGGACTGGTGGGAAATTAGTGATGCATTTTCCCCTCTTGGTCAATCAAGGTGTGACCTTTCCTCAGGGTTTAAAAGAGGTATGCACAGTGTTTTTGTGCTCCTTTCTTTAGATATAATGCAACATCGTATCAGCAGATTTTGTCAGGGATTAATTCTGTTTTTTAGGACCTTTCGAGACTTTAATGCTATCTGTGACTTGAGCATTCTGAAACCTATACTTTGTGCCGGCCTCCCCATTACTCATCATGCTTTATTCGAAATATATATATATTTATTTGAATTGGCTAAAAAGAACATTGTTCTTATTATACATATTTAGACTTTGGGCATGTGTACTGTTTTTTCAATATATTTAATCATACAATATGTATCTGAGAAAAAAATATTGTTATTAGGAAATTATAGCAAGTTGTAGTGCAAATGTAAGCACAAATACACAATGTTAAGAAAATGTCAAGTAATTAATATAACAATCTTTTTTGTCCAATTAATACAAAAAAAATACCAAATCGTAACTTGGTGTTTAAAGTGTGATTGTTTTCATGATCTAAAGCAGGGGTGTCAAACTCAAATACACAGTGGGCCAAAATAAAAAAATTGGTACTAGTCGAGGGCCGGACTTGTTCAATGTTTATTGCAAAACGTATTGAAATGAAATGATTGCACATATTAAACCTGGAACTAACAAAGCTTAAATTATTGCCTATAAAAACATTAAACATTAAATAATCAGTTGCATTCATTTCTTACGGCTCTATCTGCAGAGTCATTTCTTATGATTACATTTTTCCACAGGCCAACAACAGCTTCAAAAAAACTATTTCCCTCAAAGAAAAAACCAAACATGCCCTGTTGTCGCAAGAAACAAAGTCCAAAGGGAAACATCCATGTAAACTCAGGTTGCTGCTCTGTGATGCTAGTTCAAGCCAGATACTTGGCATCTCATCTTGGGTGCAAGTTCATCAATGTTTGGGGTCAGGCTCGGAGCTGAGGAAACCCTCAGGATTGAGTGAAGGTGTGCGTGCAATATACCGGCGGGCCAGATCTAATAGGAATTAAACATTATCCTGAGGGCCGAAATTAAATCTACCACGGGCCTGATTTGGCCCCCGGGCCTTGAGTTTGACACATGTGGTCTAAAGAATGTCAAACTTGTACAATTAAATTACTCAAAGTATTTCAGTACTCCTAAATGTCGATGTTTTACCTTACATGTATAGAACAACCACCACCAAATATTAGATTTACTACCAAGAAATAGACAAGTGTTGTTTTAGTCTGATCTGATCTGAAAAAACAACCATACAGGTGTACCATAAATCCTTTATTACTGAATTTCAATGTGACAACACTTATTTCGCATTCATCTGTGCAAACATTACACTATAGACCGTATTCGTATAAATAATGGGGCATGTGCTTACATTTACAATCCCCTCACAGCAGTGATATGACAGCTTCTGAAAATGAAGCCCAACGTAAATATATGCCACGGTATCCGACGTTAAAAGTCAGATGACCCAACATAAGAATTTCAGCAGGGCTTTCGGAGAGATTTATTCTCTCTCTAAAAAAAACGTTTTTGGAGTTTTCCCAACAGTGAGAAGACATGTATTGCACTAGTATAGCGATAAAGGATACTTGTCCTGTTGAGAAGGAAACATTTGGGAAGAAAACTAAAAGACCATTCCAGATGGGATGTGTTTCTCAACTGCATTACAAACTCCTCTTTCTGATAATTATAGATTGGATTGCATTTGAGTTTCCTGTAGAAATGGCAAGTGCTTGTACAGTACCATAAACCAACTATAAAAGAAACCAAAAATAGATATCATACAAATAAAAAGGCATAAATAAAGGCAAATGTCAACTTTTGTGTAATTCAAAGTTTAGACTCCATATTTGCTAGTGAGCAAAGTACCGTTGTGTTTGTCTTTTTTCGGACATGAATAGGAAAACACCTGGAGACAAGAACAGGCAAGAACGTGGATGAAAAAACACGTCATAATTAAACAAAATAACAAAAATATTTTCATGGCTCAGGTAAGATCTTCCATATATGTCCAATTTGTACTACAATCTCTGTTGCAAGCAGACTTCAAACGCTCACGAACAATCAAACAGCTCAAGGAGATCTGCTTTGGAAAGTCACATCCTGTCAAGACTTTTAGAGAGTGATGGGGATTGTGGGCGAGCCGAGACCCTCCTCCAGCCAGGGCACAGAGGAGGGGGTGCAGTGCTGTGCCGCGCGCCGATGGATGCGACGCAGCCGCAGCAGGTACAGCATGATGGACAACACAACAATGAAGAAACAAGCCAGGAATAAATAGTGGTTGTTGACAAAGGAGAAGCTGTGCCGCCAGTGAGAGTGCACTCCTTTCAGACCTTCCTGCTGGATGTCCCTGAGAGGGAAACACAAAATAAAACATACATATTAGACCTAGAGATAATGTGTTCACAAAAGTTCAGTTCAGTGCCCTGCTCATGTGTTTAGGTCAAGAAAGTTTGCGTTGATAGACTGATGTTTTGCAAGGATGCTTTCAATTTATGCTAAGAGTGCATGCTTTTTATCTAATAGTGTTTTATTTGTTGTCTCTATCGTCACTTTTGCTGTAACAACATACATTTCCCCCTATGTGGGATGAATAAAGTGATTCTGATTATGACCTTAGTAACATGTACATTTATAAGGCTTAAACCTGCAACACTGCAATCTTATTCAAAGTAAGCTGGATCAAGAGTAGCTAGTCCATTATTAAATCACAAACAATATTACATTGAAAGATACCAGTTTTGTTGGATAATCACTTTAAGGTAGGGCTGTGCAATTAATCGTATTTTAATCGCAATTACGATTTTGGCCTGCCACAATTACGAAAACAACATAATCGAAAAAAACGATTATTTTGCTTTGCTTGGTTGTGACAGTGCACTGCAACATATTTGATCTAATTTATTTTAGTCTAATTTATTTGTATTTATCATATTTACATATGTTTAGTAGCTTGTTGAAGTGCGCTCCAAAATATTTGTTGATCTTGTTTATTGGTATTTATTATTTTGATATTATTTATTTAAATGTAAATATAAATGTATCATTTAATTTATTTTTTTTATTGGTTTTTCAGTTGAATTATACATTCAGGGTAATCAACAGTTATAAGATACTGTTCAAATTATTATTTGTATTTGTTTTAAAGTTCAATAAATGGATGTTTTCAAAGTCAATGAATAATCGTATTTAATAATCGTGATATCAATTATTGACCAAAATAATCGTGATTATGATTTTTGCCATAATCGCACAGCCCGACTTTAATGTATTTGTAGTTCAGTGTGATCCACTTGCTGCTAACGGCTTGGTGCTCTGCTCAGTTACAGACAATCCTGAGTACTGATCATTGTTTTGATGATCCACTCAGGTTTAGCCATGAGCTGTTATCAAAGACAGCTTAGAAGACTAGTCAGTCATTCCTCCACTCACATGGCAGGACAGATTCTTAACAATCATTACTTAAAGTCAAAGTCAACTTCATTGTCAATCTTTCAGTTTGTGTGTACAGACAAAGACAAAGCTTGATAGTAAGTAAACATGAGAGAAAATCTAACTTACCTCAAAGGCAGAAAGCGTGTCCTGTAGAGAATAGCTCCAAGCGTCCATTGGACCTCTTTATCGTAGACCAACAGAGCGGTCTTCAGGTTTTTATAGTTGGCTGGGAAAGAGAAGCCAGAGTGCAATACTTCATGCATCCACGCTGATTTGAAACACTGGTACCTGCAGGCATAATAAGAACAAAAATCATAAATAATCTTGTCCAAAGAAGCAGGAGTATTTTGGGGGGATTTGACCAACTGTTGTTAGCGGTTTGATAATCCTGCGTGACTTACTTCAGCCTGTGAAGATCAGCATGTGTGGCGTACAGTCCAGAGTCAAAGCGCTCCTTCAGAGTCTTCCACTGGGTGGAGCAGTAACTCTGGAAATGTTTAATGACAACATCAGGACACTTTTTCATTGTAGGACATCAATAAAAAGTACCTTTGTTCCAAATGATAAAAAGGGAACAATTAGTTATGTATTGATGGTATATCTAACATGCTCTGTGAGAGTAATTGCAAATTCCAAAAATGCACAACAGGAATACACGTCTTGTTTTAGTTTTGCATAAATGGACTACAACTGTGGCAGCTGCTCAGTCCGTAGATACTTAGCGTGGTCACTGGTTCAAGTCCCAGTATGGGCAAAAAACCCATGTTCCTGAGCCCTGCCAAAGCTTCATTGAGCAATGCACTGAACCCATAACTAATCCTGGGTGCCGAAACATTGCAGCTCGTTTGCTCTGACACCTCTCCATGTTTGTCCATCTTAGGCCTAATCTATATTAGGTCCTGTTTCATGCGTGCATATTTGGACAATTTGTGAACAAAAATGCAGGTTCTTTACTTGAGTAAAAGTACTAAGGCCACATTGTAAAAATACTCAATTTAAGTAAAAGTATTTAAGAACGACTAGGAAAATGTACTTTAAGTATTATGAGTAAAATAACTAATTGCAGAAAAAACCTATTTAAAAATATTTCACATTTAAGAAGCTGGAACTGAAATATTTCTTAATTCCAATTAATTTTCTTTTAACCGGCTCATGGTTTTAGTTCCTTAAATATAATTTTGGGTGGTTTAATCTATAACTAAAGTGATTTCTAAGTGTAAAATCTGAAGTACTATAAAATGAAAATAATTGGGTAAAGTACAAGTACCTCAAATACTTCCACCACTGATACCAACAGAGTGAAATCTAAATGTTCCTTGTTGTGGGATTAACAGAGTCTTCTTCTTCTACTAATGACAATAAAAGACCCTCTCCCTGTGGAGCATTTACCTTAGCAGCCTTGGAGTATTTGGAGGCGTTATAGTCCCCGCCCATTCGCAGCACGTCTTCGGTGCAGTAGTAGAACTCGGAGAAGCCGTAGAACTGGCTGTTGTTGTAGTTGATGGCCGGCTGGTAGATGCCGTTGAGGGAGGTCAGGGTCTCGTTGGTGCGGTTGAGGAACGGCTGCAGGATGTGTCGACACTGGTCAAAGTCTCCGGTGCCTCGCAGATGGAGCTTCCCTGTGGACGAACCGATCTCATCCTGCAGGTCAGCGGGGAGACACGGGTCGAGGAGAGGAGAATCTGCCGTCTCACCCGCATGCTGATCCAACAGCCTGGAGAAATCAGCAGTGCAGTGTAAGTACACATAATGCTGGGTATAAAAAGTCCCCTATTATACTGTTTTTCATTAATATATTATAGGTCTCAGATTTATACAAAACATGTCTCTGAAGTGTTTGGCTCCAAACACCAAACAGATCATTGCAGCATCCCATAATCCCCTCTGTTTCAGCCCTGTTTCAAAAGAGCTGATTCTCTGACTGTTACTTTAGATGAAAATAAGGAGCCACTCCCCTCTGAGAGATATTTGGTTAAAAAGAACACAATAGGGGCTTTCACACCAAGTTCTTTTCCCACAATAGTTCATGAGAACTCTTTTAGTTCTGATGAACTAAAGCAGATCGCGTTCACACCGCAATGAGTCCCAGAGGGAGGATTAGGCAAATGAAGCCGGTGACGTCACTTCTTCTTCTTCTGCTTTGGGTTTACTGGCAGGCCGCAAACCACTTCACGGCGTATACTGCCACCCGAAGTCCCCGGCTGGAAGTCCCCGGAGTTGGGGACTGGCTTCAGTAGAAGCTGCTGGGACTCTGATGAACTAATTTAGTTCAGGGGGCTTTTTGGTGTGAACGCAAATATATCTGAGTTCTGATGAACTATTGTGGGAAAAGTACTCCGGTGTGAACGCGCCAAATGGTGCTCTAGGAGGAGATTCAGGTGATAAAGTGTGGGGGGGGGTTACCTTGGTTGGTTATTGGCTAATGGTTACACAAGCCAAACAATCGTTATGACATCATAAAGTGGCCAAAATCTGATCAGCTCATTTTCAGACAGGTTTTTATATAAATGGATCAGGACAAAAAGAGAGAGAATCTTTTTTCCTGAAACTTTCAGAGTCTCTTTACACAGAGGGGACACATGTTGATGTAGAAAAGACATGAAGAAGTGGATTTTGCATAATAGGTGACCTTTAAGAGATATTTACAAGAAATTATCTGATTATATGTCTCACTTGTTTCGGGTGGCAGTATTTTTGATGACACTCTCCTCATATCTTTGGCGGGCTGCATTTCCTCCGAACCCCAGGAAGGTGGACACATAAACACGATAAACATGCTCTGTGCGATGTGCGTCACAGCCTAAGTTAAACTCGGCCAGTAAGTTCTTGGCAACTTCCTCCTGGGGGAACAAAGAAAAATCAGGCTGGGGACCCTCATGATGCACCAATGTATATCCAAAATGGTTTCATATTTTGAAATGACGGTAGTGCTCACATGCAACACATCACTTTGTTATACAGCATGTTGTAAGGGCACATTTAGTTACATTTTAAATTGTCATGTCTAGCATATCTCAAAACATCAAAGAACAAAGGCTGAAACTATATAAAAAGATGACAATGAAAATTCAATTGTGCATCATGTGGTTTAAGGGAATAATGAGAGTAAAAAGGAAAAGCAGTGTATGCCAAACCTGCACATAATCACTACAACACAAAATAAATCACATGGGCTTCCATTACATTTAACGATCTCTATATATATATGACGTATTTTTTACACGACTTAATGATCTCAGTCTGTTCTCCTGCTATAGGGCCATGCAGCAGGCTTACAGTACGCCTTCAATAGTGATGGATGGAGAGCAGATCGTCTCCAGGGGACAAAATGAGGCATACAGGGTTTTAAACCAGGGAATGACAGAGGTTGGAAGGAGGGAGAAGAACAAAGGGTGAGTGACAAAAACCAAAGACAGCACAAAAAAAAGAATTGGTTGTGGATAATAACCTGCTGTGGAGAAGCAAAGCTTACAGTTTTGGGCACTTCGTATGCGATCTGTGTGGAGACCCCGCCCATGTCCAGGACTCCGGCGGTCCTTTTCCTCACCAGAGCCTCCTGCTGCTCGCTGACATTCACCTCAACTACAGCTTCTCCATCTAGAGAGGGTGACAGGAGAGAGGAGAGTCAGGCAGGGAAGGTATATCATGTGATTACTGTGTGACTACAGATATGTTTGGGTGGGAGACTTTTTTTAAAATGGCACACCGTTGACACACTACATGCTTGTTTCCTTACCGTTGTGCACATGGTTAAACCTTCCGAGGACGAAGTTGATTCCAATCCATGCATAGACACCTGAAAGCCAAATTGTTTAATCAATACTTATGTTTTAGCAGCATCTTCAATCTTAATACACTTTAAATAAAAAAGATACAGTACAGTGGAGAATCATAAACCCCTTGTTTTAGGAAATGCATTTGAATTTGTCATATATAACAAGTCAAATAGTTCCACACCAATGAAGTAGAAATCAAAACAAATGCATTGTATTAAATAGGTTTAACATACTTAAAATGTTTCATAAAGTCATATATAAATAAAACTGCAACTGCAACACATTAATTTAAAGTTGAAATAATCGTTTTTCAATCCTGTCTACCGTTATTATTCCTTTCATTTACCTTCCTGTTTTCCAGAAATCACTTCCACATGAGAATCAGAGAAAAGGAAGTTGAAGTGGACCGGGATGTCAGTTCGCAGATCCTCAAGAAGTGCTTCTTGTTGACTGAGATTTAACAAAAGCACAAACTTTATTAGAAAAAAAAGTGTGGTGTATAAAACATCAAAGCGTTCACTTACATCACGTGTTATCGGAGGGTTAACATTATAAGGTGACGATCATTTAGCCCGACTGTACCTTTCAGGAAGGATTCTCATTCCAGCTGTGCACAGGATGTACAGGGGGGTCTCTTGGTGCTTATTTTTGGGAATGTGTTGGGCTGCAAAGCTCAGCAATGGATAGATATAATCACTTGCTTTCTCTGGTGTTTTAGCCAATTCAGAGATGCCTACAAAGACAAAAGATCACGACCAAACATATATTTTATCTGGGGTTTAGAATGAGCTAGCATGTTAGAATTTGTCTTCAAACAAACGGTGCTAACACTTAAGTAATTCTTACATAAAATATGGTTTAATATGGCACTAACCTGGTTTGATCTTCATGACCACTGGTTTGCGGTGTTGATCTCTCATTTGCTGAATGTCCAGCAGTTCATGGGGATTGCCATTATGCCGGGGCCAACAGTACACAAAAACCCTGGAGCCACTGCTGCCACAGTCCACCACCAGGCCGTAGTTTAGATCGGGATTACTTGTATCTGTTGCATCCACATCAGTCACCCTTGCCAAGTGCCTTTTGGACAAGAAGAATTGTTAAGGCGATACTGCCTGTGTTTAATGTAACAACGGATTTGGGGAGCAGCTATTAGTTTACCTGTGAAAGTGGTTTTCTTCTCTGAGCCAGCTGGCGTGCCCCTTTGAGAGAAGCAGCAGGTAAAGCAGTCCAATGAGGCCGAGCAGCAGGCCGATGAAAAGCAGCTGTCTGAGGGAAGGTGTCAGGAGCCGAGGAAGAAACAGGGACGACAGGCTGAAATGCCATGAGGCTGGGAAAAGGCACGAAAAGCTGATCCTGCCAACAAATAAGAATCAGAAACAGGATTATTACCATGTAGGTACACGTACGAGGAATTTGACTTGGTGTGGTGATGCATACATAAAAGTAAAACAAAAATTAAAAACACAGATAGAGAACTATTTTAAGAAAACTATAAAAAAATAATGCAAATAATAAAAAATATAGTAAACTACAGCAGTATTTACATGGAAATAGAATAGAGTAACGAGAGGAGTCCGTGAAAAAAGCATCCTTAAACATTTCAGAGATATGAGAAAGTTCACAATGAATTTACATTCCCACAAATGACAGCTGACAGACCCACCTTCCCATGATGCAGATTGTCGTCTTCTTGTTAGTGCAGTTGGTTTGGAGATTTAAGAATCAGTCTGCTGAAGATGTGAGATGTGGCTTGATCCACCGCTCCATCCCGTTTTCCTCACTTGTCACCATGACCTTTTTAGGGAGAAATGTCGATGTGTTAAATGAGAAGTACTCAGATAATGCACTTGAGTAAAAGTAGAAATACCAGAGTGTAGGAACTAGGAATTAGCATCTAAATATACATGTATATAATGCAGATTGGCCCATTTCAAAAAAAGATATAATAAGTTTTGATTATAATGATTGATCATTAAAGTGTTCATCACAGCTGGTAAAGGTTGAGCTAGTTTTGATGACTTTGTATACTGCAGGGTAGCTTGTGAATGTTCTCCACGTGTACCTAAAGTCTTATTTAAATGTTGATTATATTTCACATTATTAATCCCAAAGTTAAATTCCTTTACACCACTGTCTGAGGGTTTGTTATGAGAATGGCCTAAGGTCGCACGAAGCTGTCAGACTAGTTCTCATAATTGGACAGAATGTTCTCACGTGGTTGGTATATCTTGTTGCCTGTTGAATTACCCATTTTAACGAATTTAAAACAGAAATCAACCCGATATAATGGGAGCTGGACAAACACTGTAAAGATTAAGTACGTAGCGTCTGTGGAGAGTCACTATGCTAAGTGTTTGGCTGTAGCATCGAGCTAAAATAGCTACAATTACCACATTTCTACACATCGTCAGTGTCAAAACAGCACAGTGATATGTTCGAGGCATTTAAAATATGTCATACTTACTAACTCATAAGTGAAAGTCCCTCCTTTATTGGAGAAATCGACATTTCTGGGCAGCCAGATGCTAGCTGCTGGCTAATGTTTTAGCGAGTATGTGGCAGGTCTCCGGCGAGTGACGTGGTTCTGATGCGGTGCGTTGGATTTTGTCTCCGCGTTGCCCGGATAACAAGCAGCAAAATCCCAAACCGCCCACCATTACTTCTTCGTATTTTCCATTTCATTTCGGGTAACAAACATGATTAAGATGCACTAGCCCCACCTAGGAGCTGGCATATAGATCAGGAAACAAATAACTAAGAAATTGGAGATGCTGTTTTGTTCAACTTCAAAATGTAGGAAACATAAACTCCGGTTGACTTCCCAGAAAATAAAATAAATCCAAAATCTAAATCTATTTTCTGATCAGGCATTAAACTGTCAAAATTAATGTGCCAAATAAAGCAAAAATACTGCGTAAAACATTGTTCTCGTCTATTTGGATTGACATCCCTCCTTCACCCAAAAAGGTCCCTTTATCAAAACATAATTATATAAGTACTAGATAACATAAGTATCTTTACTGTTCTAAGTTATACATGTTCTGAAGTAAATAACTGAACTGCAGTAGGTTCCGTTAAATACATTTGCAATACTTTGTACTTGAGGTCTTAGAAAAAGTGTCATATGAATGTATTTGTATTTTTTATGTGATGTTTGTGTACTGAATATACATTGTTTTTCTGCATCAATTCATCATTAGCTATACAAAACATAATAATACAAATATTGATTCAAAACAAAATGGAGAATTCCCGGTTTGTAATTAATTTAATGCACTATAAGAATGAACAGTTTTGACATGTATTGAGTACATATTTAACATATTGCCCATTTACTGTCAGGGCAAAAGTTTGAAAGTACAGTTGTAGTGATACAAGTTGAAATACAAATTGTAATTGACACTATACAAAATGTGTGTGTTTTTATTTGAATAATTTAAAGCATTATTCATCCACCTTTAACACTGCTGCTCCATTATTGGAAGCTGACCATCTCTTCACTACAACCAGACAACTTTGACTTTACTGGACATGTTACAGTCCACCATCTCCAAGTTACTGATTTGCCAGCAGTAACTCACATCTACATTCTTAAGTCTCTTGCTTCGTTGCATAATGCTTTTCACCGTCATCATCTCCACATCAGTCCGCGGCATGTCAATGCGTTGTAACCGTGCGAGTGGCATGGGAGGTGAGTCTGTGGATTCTGCAAAGAGGTTAAGGTCCAAGTCCAAAATGCTCAGTACATCCTGTAACACGCGGTTCAGAGGGCAGGGCACGGACACCAAGGAGATCTTCTCCAGTAAAGGAGAACCAGCCAGGAGACACTTGAGCACTTTCTTCAAGGACATCCAGGACATGACAGGCTTCATTTGGCTGTGCTCGTAGGAGAAACTTGCGAAAGAATAGAGAGACACAAAGAAGAACAATTATTTTAAAATTAAGTAATCGTACTTTACTTAAAAAAATGTAACATTAGTTCATAATTTTTTTATGCTGCAACTTGATTGGATGCTGTCGGACTGGTTCAAACAAAGTGGATCTGGTTATTGAGTGTTGAAATGATGGGAAAGTTAGATTCAGGAGATTAAGGAAAATTAATCAATTTGTGGCATGTTTTTATCCAACAGTTCATCCAACAACTCCCAAACAAGGGTTAACAGTTTCTAGTGTACAACCTAGTGTAACTTAAACGTAGCCTTACTTGAGTGTGAGAGAGCAGAGGTGAGGCAGCTGAGGAAGATCCCGCTCTTCACGCTGATTCTCCTCCTCTTCTTCCTCTTCCTGTGGTGTGCTGGGAGGCTCTGCAGAGATGTGCAGGTCTCTGAGTCGGGGACAGGCCTTGATGACATCCAGCAGAGGGGTGTGAGGGCTTGTTTTCACCCCCTCCAGGGTGAGAGAGACCAAAGAGGAGCCTGCAACTTGCAAGGCAGGAAGGAGCTCCACCAGAGGGCCTGGGTAGTGCACTGTGAGGCTCTGCAGCTGGCCTGAACACGCCTGGAGGCCTGCAGCCAACAGAGAGCCCTGGCTTCTTCCTCTAGTATCTTCACCATCATCAATGTTCACAGATATGGAGCAGAGGTCCGGACATGCACGACTCAAACTGTCCAGAGAGTCACATGATAAGCCCTTGACGTCCTTCAGGCGTAGGATCAGGCGTTCATCACTTGACAAAACTCCTTCTCTGCTTTTTTCCTCTGCTTGAGAGCGACTCAGCCCTTCATCTCGACTTGTTTCTTCTTCGTTTTCACTACCATACCCTTCCCACAATGTCCTCTCCTCTTCATCTTCGTCGCCTGCTGCTGCTCCTTCTCTCTTTTTCCTCAAACTGTCCTTACTCTTCCTCTCCCTCCATAGATCCCACAGCTGGGGAACTCCTTCTCTGTTAGTGAACTCCTCTGTCTGTCCAAACTGTTTTTCCTGGATGAGACAGCAGGCCTGTGCAAGACCCTCCATGGCCACTCTCTCCAGGTAGGGCAGGGAGAGGAGGAGGTAGGCTGCTGCCGCCACAGGATCTCCTTCTTGTTCCCCAAAATCAATATCCAGAGCCAGCAGACTACAGAGGGGGAGAGGAGACAGGGGTGCCATGGGAGAAGAGGAACTAACAGATGGAGATGTAGAGGGGCAACCAGGTGACCTAGAGGGACAGCTAGAGGGTGAAAAGGAAGCCCACCCACCAAGAGGAATTAGTGCAGACGGGGAGAGGAGATGACAGCGGGATATGTCCAGATGGCGCAGGAAACGACAGCGTTGGGCAATCGTCCTGATTACACATCTGTCACAAGGTGTACCAGCCAGGGAGAGGGAGCGCAGGGCAGGAAGACAGCCGAGGGTCTCGGACAGGACCTTAGAGGACAGCTGCTGGGCTGCAGACAGATCCAGACTCCACAGAGCCTGAGACAGAGAGAAGGACATTATAGGACGAATAATAGGTCAAGTGGATAATCCTGGGCTTTAATTTTTCTGAAGCCAGGTGACGTTATGTAAGGGAGAATGACACAATTCGCAAAAAGGAAAGATAATGTCTCAAAAATAATGTGTCATAAGAAATGTGCCAATATTGCACAAAATAATTTGGTCGTAATAGTTTCTCTCGTCTATTTAGACCACCTTCCTTCGTTCACAACAAAGAGGTCAATTATCATAACGTATTTATTTATATAATATTTGATTATCTCAACAGTTAATAAATAATATATTGGATAAATAGCCCTGTAAGTTAAAGTATATCTGTTAGATTTTCTCATCATAAATTAAAAGCTCTAAATGGCTCAAACAATGGCCCAGACACAAGATATCAAAGAAACAATATCAACTTTTACTTTACTGGTCAAATTCGGATAATGTGTCTACAGCTCTGTGGGTGAGGTTTTTTTTATTAGCTGTTTATATATTTGTTTAATATAACCTACTGTCAAAATGCAAAATAAATCTGACCTGGCACCGTGCAGCAATGTGGGCGCAGAGGGCAGAGTTGACCAGGCCAGGACACTTCTCCAGAGAAAGGCCACGGAGCTGGGGGACCAGAAGGAGGTGGAGGGCGGCCCGGGACATCTGCTTCCTGGAGCCCAGCAGCAGCGTCAGGTCCTCCACCAGCTCACCCGCTATACGGAGGGAAAAGCAAAGAAATAGAGACAGCCGGGGAAATATTTTAGCAGGATTAGAAGTGATTAATAACCAGAGGTGGGAAGTAGTGGAGTACAGATACTTCGTTACTGTACTTAAGTACAGATACTTCGTTACTGTACTTAAGTACATTTTTCTAGTATCAGTAATTTACTCCACTACCAATTTTTCTGACGACTTTTGACTTTTATTTCTTACATTTTTTTACACAAATACCTGTACTTTCTACTTTTCAAAACAGGCTGGTGACTTTAGTATTTAATCCGCGTTGGGTGGCGTGATCATTATTATTTAGAGTCATTGCGTGCCTATTGATTTGAACACGATCCGTGTATCCATCATTTCCTGGTCTTCTCTAAAGAAGAGGGACCAATGCGAACTCGGCTCGAGTGAATTCGGTCTGAGGCAACTGCAGCGCCTTATTATCCCAAAGATGGATCTTTAATGTTCTATTAATATAAAGGGAGGTCAGTTACTCTTTAAAACAGTTGGTAGTTATGGGTACTTTTTACTTAAGTACATTTCGTAGCCCATACTTCTTTACTTTTACTTGAGTAAAGAAGTTTAGTCAGTACTTCTACTTTTACCAGAGTATTTTTAAACATGAGTACCTGTACTTCTACTTGAGTAAAGGATGGTGTACTTTTGCCATCTCTATTAATAACCCTGTAAATAACCTGTAATTAAGTAAAGCTGCAAAAAGCATGCATGTGAACTATAGTAATAACACCAGAAGGCCCTTATTCAACCTCTGATTCTGCACAAGAAAAAATTCCACCAGACTTTTATTTTCACTTAGCTTCAAAAATGTTCCTGATACAGGAAATCAGTATGTTGCTCCACATTGGAAGAGTACGTAGAAGAGCAACATGTATAGTTGTCGGTTAAATGTTCCCCTCACACACTCACGCAGTAGGTTGAAAGGCCCCATGATGTATCTGAATGAGAAGTGATCCAGGTAGTTGTCGGCGTAGTCCTTCACCCACACTTCCTTCATGTTTTCTGCCAGGCTGAGCAGACACAGCCGAGTCAACGACAGCACAGAGCCGTCTTCATCTGTTTTCCTGCAGCTCCCCATCCACTCTTTATTTCTCTTCCTCCGGGGCCCAGCTTTGACCCCGCCATGTTTACCTGGAGCTCGAAACAGAGGCATTTCCAGACAGGAATTGATGCTGTATCTGTGTGGTGAGGGGGCTTCCTCTGTCTGCTGGAGGGATGAGGGGGGAAAGAAAAGAGAAGAGAAATGACATGTTTAGGGAAAAAACACAACTGTTTCAGATTTACAACTCCAATTTCTTGAAAATCACAGAATGATTCATACATTTAATAGCTTGTAAAAAAAAAAATTATAGGGGGGAGGGATCTTGTTTTGATTGAACATTGGATTATAGTTATCCATATTCAATCAGTGCTGACGAGTCAAAAGTATATAATAATCCGCAAGATAAATTGTGTAGTATTATATTGTAGACTTTATTGATCCAACATTGAAGTGACACATTAATGCATCACATTATAATCATTAAAGGTGGGGTAGGTAAGTTTGAGAAACCGGCTCGAGATACACTTTTTGTTATATTCCATGGAATGCTCTTAACATCCCGATAGCAATGAATATCTTAAATGCTTTGACCAAAAATCCATAAAAATATTTCATCTGTGGAAGCCGTAGTACTGTAAAAAGCACGACCAATCATCTGAGCCGGCCTGGCTAAAATAACTGGATGGCCTACCTGCCTGTCAGCCTTCCATTTGTGCACAAACTTATCTCATGCCCTCATTGGTCATGTGCGCGTTCGTGTGTGTTGGAGGAGGGGCTCTGTAAGGAAGTGGCAGATTTTTTCCGGCTGTGTATTTTCAAATTTTAGTGCACTCGAGTTGGTTTCTCCAAAATTACCTACCCCACCTTTAACATAATAGATATTATTCAGAAGTGGGAAATTCTGCATAACAAGTAGACTACTTTGACTTTTGGTATATTAATTCGTTTATTTTTTTAAATGCAGGACTTTTAACAAATAATTTCTACTCTGTGGTATAAGTACATTTGCTAAGGTAAGATCATTGTAGTTCATTTCCATCTCCACTGTTGTTCATAACTACTTCAATCAGCTGAGAAGAGACATACAGTAAGGTTAGTTACTGTAGACCGAATGAAAGGAATATAACGGTAAATAAACTAAAGTGTACTATCCAATGAAGGACATATGTTGTATTGCATTAAGACCTACCTGTTGAATCACGTCAATAATCCAATGCTAAGAAGCCAGGAGTGTAAAGAAAAAGCTAAGTGTTTGTAACAACCTTTGCTCAGCCTGATTTACAGCGGCACTTCCTGGTTATAGTCAACGATAATGTCAACCCTGAGTTTTGTCTGTCAGGCACACTTTTTTATTCACGTATTCGGAGGACAGCCTTGACCCACAATCGTGTTCATAATCCTAAATCAACCCCACATAATCAGTCAGTAATATTGAAAAATGTATATCTTTATTCTCAGGAATATGCTGTTTTAAAAACGTCTTAAAAAACAGATTGTTTAATATTCATTGGCGGTTTTTTTCATGTCATTTTGACATGTTTTTCTTTTATGTTTGGGATTATGTTTGGGATTCCCGGCCTAAGTAAATACAGTGAAACATAAATAGTGTAGCATTTACCTATATAATATTAAGCCAATCCGAATTCAAACTAAAATAACACACTTGGATACCAGGCAGTAGCCTACATAATTTCAGACATGATTTTAACATCATCCCTGTATACCGCTGAACTTCGAATCAGGGGTTAGCAAATTCGAGTCCCACTGCAGTCAGCATGTCGTTGTGTCCCTGGGCAAGACACTTCACCCCAAATTGCTCCTGTGGGGATTGACCACAGTATTGAGTATGTAAATCGCTTTGAATAAAAGCGTCTAACAAGTTACATGTAATGTAATGCAATGTACAGTGTTACTTATATCTGCATCTAATCATACAATATATATAATATTGTTTTAACCAGTGGTGAAATATATAATTATAAGTATATTCACATTCACTCACACATCCACTCTTGATATACTTTTACCCCACTACATTTTGTAGGCACATTTTGTGTTTTTACTCCACTATGTTTATTTAACTAGTCACTTTGCTTTAGTTTTAAAAATATAAATCAAGAAATACAAAATATTATTCAGCTACCCAGCATTATATTGAGTAATAAAACAAACTAATACCTTTACCGACCTTAAAGGGATGAACTGAATAATTACAATTCAGTTAAATGGCCTACATTTTATAAATCTGAAATGCTGCATGATAAGTAATTTAACTTATAATACTTTAGGTATAATTGATTCTAATATTGTTATACTTGAATATGGTTTTAAATGCAGGACTTTAAATCGTAACGGAGTATTTTTACACTTTAGTTTCGTTACATTTATTTGAATTAATGTGCTTTTCCCCCTCACAGCCATAAAGACCTGTACATTAAATGACTGGATTGAGGTGTGTGGATGCATTTGAAGAATATAATACCTAAAATGTCAATTTTACTGCTTATTTTAACCATGTGATGCCCATGATTCCTTACGATAATACTAGGTTAGTTAGGTTTGTTAGCTTACAGCAGATCTGCAACAATATCGGACTTCCATTTTAAGTAATTTTCTAACAATAGTGACGATGGGCCAATGTCATAATCCCTGAACATCAACAAGGGCTTCGGTCCCAGCTGTGTGCATCACATTCAGTGGCGTCGCCTGGCCTGGGCATCCGGGGCTTTAGCCCCGAATGTTTTTTCTGTAGCCCCGGACAATTCTCCCTCAATAATATAATACATTAACCGTGCTTTACGTGAACCTCATCATGACACGAGAGGACGGCAGCACTGTAATTTCCCGTGTTCAGTGAATGCAACAGAGGCATGACACCAGACCAATCAGAGAGTTGCATGGAAAAAACGTGTGCTTGTGTCATTCAAGCTCGGCTCTGTGTGTGTAGGGAGGGAGGTGCCAGCATGGACCGTGTTGTTAGCATCTGGTTAGCTAGCTGCACTAACGGACATAAGGAGCTGTTTGTTCCACAAGAAGCTGGAGGAGAGTCCTCTCCTCTCAGACTGAGAGACTCAGGTGAGCTAAAGGACTCTCTGTGTTTAGATAGTTAACTTTAGTCTAAGTTATCTCAGTGGGTCTCAAACGGTTTGGTCACAAATTATTCAAAAGATTATTTCCGCGGCACACCTTCATATGATCATTATAGTTATTAAAAAAAAGAGAATAAAGGAAAAACAGTTATGAAATACTATATGGCAGTAAAACAAGAATAGAGTTTAAAAAGGGAGTGATTAGTAAAATATCCATAAAGAAAAAGAACATCTGTTTACAGTTCTGCTTCATATGGGTGTTGAGAGAGGTATCCATAGATCTCTTCATTTTGCTCTCAAAGTGCACCAGATTGATGCATTTAACTTCAATATTTAAAAAAAAATCTTCCCGGGGGAGCATCCCCCCGGACCCCCCTTGAGGAGGTGAGCCCCCCACTCATAAAAAATATCACTTTACCCCTGTCTATATGCCGTGAGCTAATTATCGAGCCTTCATTGTAACAGTCGCGGGTGTACTGTGTGTGTGAGTGAGGGGAGTGTTGCAGTAAAAAATGCCACTGTAGTGCCGCCGCCACTGTGGGCTAAGCCCCGAATGTTTTCAGGTCCAGGCAATGCCCCTGATCACATTGCATGAGATTTGGATCATTTCAGTTTAGATGCATCGTTTTTGAAAGCGTTTCTCCTATGGAAATGTTTTTGGTCGCGTGTTTGCACCTGTCAGTCACTGTAATAGAAAAATATTATAGGCTACTCACTTACTTACTTTAATAATATAATTGTGTGATTCTTATTTGCTAATGTTTATCTGTATGTACTACTTCTCACACTTCTTAGCTAAGCTTGGGGACATTCCTTATTAAGAAGATGTGTTGCAGTGTTGTTAGTTACACTCTATGCGCACCAACAGTATGACCTTCAACCAGGGGCGGACTGGGACTACAAATCAGCCCGCACTGTAAAAAAAAAAATTGTAAAAAAACGGAAATTTTCTGGCGACGAGGGCGCCAGAAAATGTCCGTTAAAAAAAGGAAAAAAACTGTAAAATAAAATACGGAGATAACATGTAAAAAAAAAGTTACTTACCTTACCACAAGTAGCCTCTATTACTGTAATTTTACATGAAATCTTTTTATTTTAACATATATTATTTGTTAGAATAGAGTCATAAACCTCTAGAAAACGGAATAATTATCTTTAAAAAATGATAAAAAAAAGCTAAAATACATAAAATTACTTTTATTATTACAAAAAAGTACCGTGTATCTAAGACCATTTACCATTAAAACACAAAGAAAAGAATGTCATTTTACTTTGCAAAAGCCTTAGTTTACATTAACTATCACATTTTTTGCCAAAAAAAATCTGTAATTTTACAGGAAATCTTTTTCTTTTAACATATTTAAATGTTATACACCTCTAGAAAAACTGAATAAATATTTTTTTAAATGATCAAAAAAAGCTGAAAGAAAGAAGATTACTGTTGTAGGACCAGAAACGTTTTTAAGCTACAATACGATAAATATTATTGTTTGTTTTGTTTCGAACATGTTCAATAAATTGACTAATACAATTTTGTTTTTAAAGAGCTGCTGCTGTTTTGGTGATGGTGTTAGTGTGATGAGTCCATGTCAGGTCCTTAGTGATGAGTCAGGTCTTCAGTGATGAGTCCATGTCAGGTCCTCAGTGATGAGTCCATGTCAGGTCCTCAGTGATGTGGACCCCGAGGAACCTGAAGCTGCTGACTCTCTCCACCGTAGTCCCATTGATGGCGATGGGGGGCGTGTCCCTCTCTCTGCTGCTTCCTGTAATCCACAATCAGCTCCTTTGTTTTGCTGACGTTGAGATGGAGGTTGTTATCCTGGCACCAAGATGTCAGGTTTTCGACCTCCTCTCTGTACGCCGTCTCGTCGCCGTCGGTGATCAGGCCGATGACGGTCGTGTCGTCAGCAAACTTCATGAAATCTAAGACCATTTACATGTAAAACACAAAGTAAACATGTCATTTTACTTTGCAAAAGCCCAAGTTTACATTAACTGTCCGATGTTTTGTAGAAAAAAAATCACAAATATATATATACACAATATATGCTAATAGCATTAGCTTCATTAGCATATTTGATTATTTGTTTAATGAAACTAGCGTGATTTTGGCAAGCCCAACTAGGTGTCCTACATTAATTGTTGATTTAATCACTAATTACAGTAAGAGTGTGAGTAATGTGAATCATGTTGTTTGTTTAAAGTTAACAACTATTCTGGTGTATTCAATTGGACAGCAATACAAGCAACACGTGCTAAATGTCATCTGTTAGCCTATGATGACTCGCTGCAAAACCAACTGTTAGCCTTTTTGTTTATTTGTTTAATGAAACCGTATGTTATGGTTATGTTATTTAGCAGAGGCTTTTATCCAAAGTGACTCACAAAAAACATAAAAGAACCATAATTAACATTAGATTATCAATATAAATAGTTACATAGTCAGTTACATTACGTATTACATTTTTAACAGGGTAATTGGTCATCTGTAACCTACATTTAAAAAAAGTAAACTTCCCAACCCTGATCATTAATTATAGTCAGCTAATTAATTAAACTTCAAAGGATGACAAAAGCATGTCAATATGATCTGTCTGTCCGCTACATTAAATCAGCAGTAGCCTAATATAAGTTCTGTCTTCAGTGTAAATGCTTCTTTAATAGTCATTGTATTACTATTTGAATTCATTGTAAATAATCTTAACTGTGCTGACTGCCTGTTTACTGTTTATCAGACAGTCTCATCATTTTGACATGTTTTATAATATTGCATGAGGTGTTTTAGTCAGTTATTATGTCGGCCTATTCTGTAGGTTAGAATCTGTCGTGTCAGAATCTAACAATTAGGCCTAATTTATGTCTGTCTGTGAAAGTATTTCAAAATGTTCAGTTTGACCAATTAGGCTCTCTTTTTCAAGATGCATATTTCAATCCAAGAGGGGAGATCCTTGCCCGATTTACAACGATGCACTACATGTTGCAAAGTCTTTCACTGCCCGTTCTGTGCCTCAAATGAGTTCCACCCAGCCAAACTGAGCAAGGTCCAAACCCATTTAGAGAGCCACTTCAACCGTGCAGTTCAGAAGAGGGCTTCCCGGGGTACTGCAGCTGGAGCTGTTGTCTGGTGGTTGAGGGAACAGCAGACCCCGCCTCACCCCAGTGAAGAATCCACAGTGCCCAATAAATAAAAATGTATTCTGCACTGAAATTCCTCT